TGCAATTTTGAAATGAAATTAACCTATCTAAATAAATTGTTGTTGTCTGAATTAATGAGAAGGTTTTTCACCAGTAAATGCATGTCACCACTGAATAAGACGTCGAATTCATATAATAATTTTATTGAAATAAACAACGTAATTTCCAGTCAGAAACAGTAACCGAAAACTAGAATAAAAATGTGTTCTCGTAATTCTATAGTTGAAATCATGAGTCAATTGAAGCTAGACCAACAGGAAAAACCTGGAAGCACTGGATGGCCGTTTCATCCTATTCTGGGACTCCTCAGCAGTGTGCATCCACGATCCCGACTCGCGAGATTCGAACCCGGGATGTATCAGTCTCGTGAGTGAGCGCTCAACATCCAGACCACTGAGCCGGTCTGCATCCAACGGTGTTATTATCTAACTTCAACCAATCCACCAAATATATCAACCGTCTATCATTGTCTTCAGTGAGTTGATATCTCCCAACAGACCTGGTTCAACTCCACAGGTCATTGCTTCTTAATAGAAACCCAATAATGTTTAGTGCTTCAAAGTGGATAACTCGATTACAAAGCCTTTACGCTATTCGTAAACAACGTTACCAGTACCTAATTTAAATAGAAGTGAGCTTCCAGATTGTCTAACAAATATCAATTCAATCCGTTCCGGTGACCTTGTCTTAACAAGTTTCTGTGTTCTTGTGGTCCGATTGACAGCCTTGGTAGCTTATGACCATCTGGTTGACCAGCGTTTTACCTACGAACTTGCAAATCAGATCTATATCGATATATCGACTGACTGCAGATTGATTTAAATGTTGTGTTTTCGAAGATGGTCATGGGATTTTTTCAGTCCAGAACTTGAAAATTTTTCTAGTCAGATGTCTGTATGTAGCTTCATTTACTAATGCAACGGAAAATGCATCTTGATTTTTTACTACCAGTGACTGTTTGGGTATGTGCAAGTAAACAGAAAGTCCTATTCATCTAATGCGGTCCTTGTTACACTTGGTGTAATTTATTCTATATATTTTATTATTGGATTTTTCTTCTTCCGCTGATGTGTCGATTACATTGTTTGTTAGATAATCACAATACGTTCACTGGATTGTTTGTACTTCCAAAGGACTTTTTCCATCTTAGGATATATCATAAATTATTACTTTGTACTGAGGTTGTACAAGTATAGAAATGACGTAACAGCTGATGTTCAGTAATGACTATTAAAATAAAAACATTGAAGTCTTTAAACTATTTTTCAGAACGAAATATAGTTTTCTATATTGCTGAGGATCTCATTATAGTATAAAAACCAGAACTTTTTTGTGAGTTTGAATTTGAAAATATTTAGGCGGATCAAAATTAGAGTTTGTCTAGGATGAATTTTAAAAGATTTTACTTTTCATGAAACTTATTCATGTTATTGACCAAAGAGTTTTCAACTTCTGCAGTTTTAAAAGTCTGAGAAATATCATCCTAAGACGATTCAGAAATCTGTAATATTTCCATGAATACAGATCGTTTTGCATGTGAACTTAGTTTACACTGCCCTGCATCTCAGTTCGAAAACAATGAGTGTATATTAATTAACTTTTCCTTAAAGTATCACATTTATAACTTCGACAGAAATAGTATTTAAACTTTGTTGATGAAAATAGAATCAAACAGCTCTCCGATGCTTTTTGATTTATAATGAGCATTTGAAGTTAGTAGACTGTGACAAAGACAATGTAAAAATCAAGTTCAATTTTACAGCTAATCCCAGTTTTTCTTCTGGATATATTAAAGGTCTGATCTAAGTAGTAATATCAACACTAATTTCTTTGGAATATTTCAGACAAATTAAAACTCTTTATAATCCTTTGGGTTTTCTATTGATTGGTTACACGATGGTTCGTGTAAATTCTTTCTTCCATTATCTTTGTTCATTGTTGGAATAATTTCTTACAGTTTGATTTATTGTCCCAAAACAACAAAATCTGTTGACCATTTGTAGTCCTTAATCTAACTTCAGTTGGATCGGATGAATGATCGTTGTCGAATGATTACTATCGAAATATACATCCTGACTATCCCCGTATATAATCATCAACTTGAATCGCGTTAGTGAATAACGGAATTAAATAAGTCAAATAGGAGAATGCAGTTTGAATACGTATGTTTTTAATAATCGCTGTTTGGCACAGACAATCAGAGAAACAGAGCAAAGGAAGCGAAGATGAGAGAGAGCAACAAAATGACGTGTAGTGGAGAAGTCGTGTTAGCCAATTCGATTTAATCAAGCGTTAATCAATATTTATAGCCGAACAAAAATAGGTTAGACGTGTGATAATAGGATAAGAAGTGCGCACACATACACTAACAAAAACAGTCAAGTGAATAATTAACAAAGTCAGAATGTAGCTTGAGAAGAATGGATAAATTAGTTTGTCCAGAAGCCAGAATAAGGTATATGTGCTCGACATAGAAATAGCCACTACAAATCATGTATTCTGATTACTTTTATTTCGTTTTCATAGCATCTCCATTTGTCTAAAATACGTATACTTTTCACTTTTTTTCAATGTTAAGTTATTTAACTGTTGGTAATTAACACTTGTGAAAATGACCTTGGATAAAATTGATTCACAGTTTGTTTATATGATGCACTTTATGTGTGAATCAAGTGAATAGTCATGATTCATATGTAATCTTGTAAGATTTTATGCATTTATCACATAACTTCAGTTAAAATAAATTTATCAATCAATTAAAGATGTTGGCGAGACTATAATTTATGGACGAACCAATCAGATTTAAGATAGCAGGTTTTATATTTTGGCGTGAGATTCATCCACTTACTTGGCTAAATACCGTTTTGGGCATCATCGCTTATGTTAGTTCGTGATGAAAACATTAAATATAATTTCTAACCCTAACGTTCAACTGTAAATCCTAATCTTAGTTCCTGACACTAATTTATAACACTTATTTAACCCTAGTAAGTAGATGGACATTTTCAAGGTCATTTTAGTGTTGCTCACAGGTCGTCCATAAATTATAGTCTCATCAAGCTGTTTCAATAATCCTTGAATCGGTCGAATAAATGATTCTAACTACCAATTATAATTTATAAATTAACTTTAATTAAATCAGACCACGTGATATTAATAACTAATTTCATACTAACCTAAAATATTCCTCCGGTGAATAATATATTCTTCTATTAATGCTCAACACTAAGCATTACACTGTTTCGTATTTGTAGCTGTTCTTTTTTAAAACTTTTAATAAATTGCAACTGATAATTTCAATAAATTATATTCAGTTTAAACTATATTTTAGGTGGATATTTCTTACAGTCTTTCAACTGGAAAGTATCCTGGAGTTATAATGCGTGTAAGATTAACATTTTAATGTTATTTCCTAATTTTCGTTTGTCCTATGTTATCCAATCAGACACTTGTTAAATTTGTTTCTTATCTTACGTGTGATAACATACTTCAAATAATTTAGAAGATTATCTCAATAATACGGAGAGTCTAATTATGGTTAGTAAATAATCGACAACAGTGAAGCTCTTTTAGTGTCGTATATTAAAAGACAGTTGATTAATATTTCAATATTTATGTTCAACATGAAATTCACAATTTCTTGACAGATTTCCCTCAAAATTTAATTTGAAATACTTTAAACTGTTCTTTTAAGTTCATTACTTTCATGTTTCATCAGCAAGGTGAAAATTGTTCTGCCTAATATAAAATGACTTACAAAATAACATTCATTGTCCGTTAAAACACTAAGCTCTGTAAGTTAGGATTATAGGTTAATTTTAAATCTTCACAACTTGTGAAAAATCTATATAATACGAAGATTAAGTAGTAAAATAACAGTAGATTACTGAACATTATTTCTGTCATGAGGCTATGTGTACTCATTTTACTAGGCATTCATAAGGTTTACATTATTCATGAAGTTTCCTTCTTTTCATTCATTTCTAAGTATTTGTTCTTCGTAGTTTTCCACCTATAAATGTGTACTTATATTATGTAAATTCCTAAAACTGTCAATGATAATAAACATAAAAATACACTTAATGCACTTAATCTCCCAATAGGTGATCATCATGTTTTATTGCAATCTACAAATGAAACATTTTCAAATTTTCTTATCAGTAGATTAAAGGTTTTGAGAAAATTAATTGAGAAAGTTGTTTAACGTTACTAGTTAAACAGTTATCTCATTGCAATTCTTATCACAGTTTTAATCACTTAGGAATTTATGGTTTAAGAATAATAAAGTCTTCATCTGTAGTTTTAATTTAATTCTTTTCATAGAACACCCAGTTTTTATTCTGTTATACAGTAGCTCTATTATTTCTTTTGTCACAACAAGTGGTTTTCTTAGTACTTTGACAATTCTACAAAATTAAACATATGTATATGCAGAGATGGATGGTGGCTAGCAGTAAGATTTTAGACGAGCGTTTCGTCCAATTTTTACGTAATTGTTAACTTCCTCTGAATTTTCATCCATGCAAATATAAGTATGATTAAATAACTGTCATGTATGTAATTTCTTCAGTCCCAGTACATACCATATACTTGAAAAAATTGCTATAGATTTATTGAAAACTATAACTAAATGAATGATGCTAAACAGTCATGTATTCCAATATAAATGGTTTAGAAAATATTCTTTAATACGGAAATCTGTCTTAAGTGCTTCACGGAGCTTCACCATTTGAAATGCTTCTAGTGAGTGCTCCTTTCTACTATTTCTAACCGCTGATGCTTAATCATAATGCATGAGTCATCGGATCACTTAGACTAGTGGAAACACTGGAAATCAATTAATAGAATATGAGCAGTACTAAAGAATTAGACATGCATGACATTGGTCACTGCTAAGTTATCAGTCAATGTAAATCAAGACTATCCTTTCAGTGTAAAATATATAATCGAAATTGAAGTAACTGTTGAAGTGCGATCTAAGTAAAACAAAAAAAACAATTTATCGCTAAAATATTTCTTCCATCCAAACACCAAATTTTGGACTTTTCAAAAATATTTTGTGCACTTAACTCAACTACTATATGAATTGTTATCCATTAAAATATGATACAGAATAACAGACGAAACATTTGAAATCATTAATAAAATATGTTGATGTTGTATATAGATAAAGTAAGGTTGACTTTTATCTTGATGTTCAGTAACAATTTTTCATAATATTAAAACATGGTTCTGTTGAATTTATAGATAATAAGTTGGGGTTTCACAATATTTTATGTATTTGAACAAATTTCTTTTCTGTGGGCTTATGGTCAGAAGGCATTTTTTTCGAAGAAATCAAATATATTTGGATTATTTATAGTAGCTATAATATTTGTAAGTCATCAGAATTTCCATTGTACAGTAGACTGTCATTTAGCTGAGTTTTTATTGCTAATCTTATTTACAGTATTTTAACCAATCGTTTTTTCAAGTCACTCAATAATACAATGCTGCTTTTCGAATGTTGCATGGTCACAAGAGGCCATACCATGTCATATCAGTTGCAACACCTTACCAAACCCTGTCTACTACCCTGATGGAAATGATGCACTATGTGGGATTTGAACCCGATTTATTTAATGTCGCATATACCTTTGAGCTATAATGACTGTAACAAATCTGTATTTATGATTGAAATGATTACTCTAGTTTATCATTTAGTCAAAAATAATATCGTTTCGTTTATTCACTAGTGTTAATTGAATTCTATTTCCCTGTCTCAGTAAAGCTACTACTCTAATAACATAAAAAATTATTTGACTGCTTCAAATGATTAAAGAAATATATTTCAGCAATCTAAGTTGTGTATAGATTCTAAACACAAACTAATACTGTGTTGCATTATACATTATGTTAGGGTACTCTACGGGAATTTTCAAAATAAGGAAACTAATATATTTAAGTATAATGTACTGTTCAGAAGTCTGCTAAATTCCTATAAAAAGCATACGTTTCTTATTCTACTAATGCTATTACTAGTAAATATTTATATTGTTATTAAAATGACTATTCAAAACTGTACTGTTTCATATGTGATACTTGTGATTACATTATACGTAATAATACAACATACCATGCTTTTCCTGTACAGTTTTTTACAACAAATATTGTCTGGTAATTAGACAATTAGATACTAGTATGGATTTGCCAAAACACTGACCGTACATCTAGAACGACCATATTTATGTAAATAAAAACACGTATTCAATCGTTTCTCCTACTTTGATTGTAATCTTGTTTCCTAAAGCCACTACCCTCCCTTCACTCACCTACTTGATTGACCTTTTACTTCCAACCGACTTATTTCTGTTCATATATCCTTTCTGACTACGTGACATCTCAACTTTAACATCCTATCTTATTACGTTAACCAAACCTTCTTCCTATTGGCTAATCTTTGTCTACCTACTTGGTGAATACTCAGGATTTCAACAAATACATTTTCAATTTCTTGATGAAAATAACATTTTCATGCTTTTGGTTATTTCATCTATATGTTACTATGTTAAAGAAGTTATTGCTATTGTAGTCATTACTGTTATTATTATTATTTCTAACCGGCATTATTGATTATCATTTCGAAAAGTAAGTATGTGTTTTCGACTCAACAGTTTTGAGAATGAACTCGTTAATACGTGAACTCTCTAATAAATCAATCTCCTTCGGTTGTGTCTCAGTCGGTATATTCGGTTTAATTTAAATTATAGTTTTTGATCGAACAATATATGAATACTAATAATGATGTTTATAAGGATATTAGTCCAAATGAAAAGCACAACAATTTGTTGTTAAAGTGTTACCTTCAATGAAATTTATGCTAAGAAAATCAATTTTTAGAAAATTATTTAAATGATAAAACCAGACTATTCAAGACTTCTTTATTTGATTAAATACATTTATATCGGCTATATATATCGGTTAAGTGCTCTGGAGCATGACTGGTCGGTCCTGGGTTCGAATCTGATGTTTTATGTTATCCATTAACGAATATCTTTAACAGATCCTTCTCAACTGATGTCTTACCGAAAATGTGGAGAAAGATAAAGATAATCCCTATACCAAAGAAAGCTTCTGGTGACAAAAATGCGAAACTTAGACCCGTTGCAGCAACTTTACCTTTCCTCAAAATAATGGAGAAATTACTGATACAACCACTTCAACCAGCAATAAAAGAGCACTGTGATCCATATCAGTTTGCTTACAAATGCAAAAGAAGCACATTAGATGCCGTTGCTGTTCTGCATCACAATATAGTGTTCGGGTTGGAAAAGGGTAGGAAGTATGTTAGATGCGCTTTCCTGGACTTTACCTCTGCTTTTGATTCTATTCCAAGACACCTCTTACTTAACAAGCTGATCAGCGTCGACACTGACAGCTGGATAACCAATTGGCTATGTTCCTACCTTTCTGGAAGAGAACAGTACACTGTATTTGGAGGAAAGTGATCAACATCTCTACTGTCTACTGTAGGTGTGCCACAAGGGGCTGTTCTTTCACTTCTGCTCTTCTCTTTTTTTCTGCACGATCTGCCATCTTCCACGGAAAACACTGTTCTAAAATATGCGGACGACCTCACTGTATGTATGCCGATTTCTACCTCCTTACATCCTATAGAAATGAATGAGTTTTTATCTCGTATTGAAAGGTGGTCTGTTGGTAATGGTCTCTTACTCAATCCATCTAAATGTCAAGCTGTTAACTTTAGCTTGAGACATGGACAGAACCTATACTCTATTTCGGGATCACATAATGCTTGTGCCATTGGAAACTCCTTAATAAACACAGTGTCGAAGGTCAAATATCTTGGTGTCATTTTTTCCTCTGATCTTTCTTGGTCTTCTCATGTTTTACTGTTATCGAAAAAAGTTTACCGTTTGACTTACTACATAAAGAGGCTGCATGCTTTTAGGATTACTCGCCATTTACTCTTACAATTTGTAAATTCCTGCATATTACCTATTATTCTATATTGTTCTCCATTATTCTTTCCCGGGCTTTTGAGAAAAGACTTTGCTGTTTTGCGTAGAGTGTTGTAGGCGGTTTGCAAGTTATGTGGTGAATCTTTTGAAGTCATTATTAATATGCTTGTGGATAGACATCTTAAATCTTGCAAACTCTTGGCAGGTGTCATCTTATCAGATACTAACCATCCGCTTCATTCATATCTTTCTCCTTGTATATCTTCTGGTAGAACGAGACGTAAATACATTAAAATCCGTACACGCAAGCAAGTCTATAAAAGTTCTGTTATACCTTACCTAGCAAATTTACTTTGTGATGAACAGGCTGTTAGAGTTGACCTAGTAAAGAACCTGTATCCCTAAGCATGTCTCAAATTCGATAATTTGTATAAACCCAGGTTTTTTTCTTAAACCTTTTTATTCCTTTTCTGTTGTTTTTTTTGTTGGTTTTTTTGTCTGTTTTTTTTTGGTAAAAAACTTGTTGAAATAACTCGTGCTGAGAATTCTATATTGTACCAGATTATAATATTGAATAAAGCCATTAATAATAATAATCTCGCGAGGCGAGGTCGTGGATACGCACTACTGAGGAGTTCCACAATAGAACGAAACGGCCATCCAGTGCTTTCAGGTTTTTCCTGGTGGTCTAGCTTCAACTGACTCACGCTTTCAACTATGTAAATACATTTACAAAATTAATAATATTGTCATTTTATTTAACATAATTTATATAAACTACATGTATTCGTTGTTTCTAGGTTGTTAAATTAATTGAATTGACTTTGTTGCTTGTCAGCCATCAGTAAGTTTTTTTTCAAGTATTATCTACGTATGACAATTTTAGATCAAATTGATAAGATTATAAATTACAGAATTCGTTAGAATTAATTTGTAAAATGAGATTCACTAATATCATTGAATATTTAAGTCTGGTAATTATAAACTTTGAAGTAACTTCTTAGTAAATATATTCTATCGAATATAGTTTTATTAATCAAACTTAGGCATTTACTCAATTAAATTGTTCGAAGGATTACTTATTTACTTACTCCTGTTACTCTCAATGGAGCATAGGCCGTCGACCAGCTTTCTCCAACCCACTCTGTCCTGGGCCTTCTATTCTAGTTCTATCCATATTTTGTTCATCCTTCTCATGTCTGTCTCTATTTCTCGGCGTAATGTGTTCTTTGGTCTTCCTCTTCTCCTTTGACCAACTCGCTAAAAATACGCTAACGAGAAAAAATTATTCGAAGGATTATTAAACAGAAATTACTATCACTACCCAGAATATTCTTAAATACATTTTATGTTTTTATTATGAAATATTTTAAGATGGCATGCAACATTAAACGCTGAAGTTATCAGTAGAGGGAATTTTCATTTTTTGCTGTGAAACCTTATCTTATGTAATCCGTTGTTTGTTTCCATTTCCTTTGCCGAAAATATATGAACATGGACTTGAATAATAAGATGAGCGCTGTAACTTCAAATGTGCTATTTATTATGATGTAGTCTTTTGTAAAAGCAGTTCCATGTTACTTATGAACGATACCGTAAAGGTAACCCGACAACCACAAGTTAGAGTCTCATTATATTTACTAACATAAATTGATTTATTTAGCGGCGACAGATTGATCGACTTAATTTACTTGATTTTATACTATAGTCTTCTTAAACTGGTTATATCTCCTATTGAAGTAAACAAAACTTATCCATAATTTAGAATGAGACTAACTAGTTTAGACGAAAACAACCGCCTTTTTTCCGTCGACTGTTCTTTTAATTTCTTTATATAACAGACTATCCTAAATTAGCAAACGTATACTGTTGGTGAACAACAGATAGTTCGCATTCTAATAGTATACGGTGAACTTCACATTTTTCAAATGAAGATGGTACGGTTAAGATAATACAGTAGTCTGTTATGTGCAACTATATTTCTGTAGGGTTGAATTAAAGTTGGATAGTGGCTAACGGTAGGATCTAAGATATACATTTTGTCCTGTTCAGTACTCGTAATCTGAGAGTACCTATATTCAAGTTTTTATGATAAATTTTAGCCATTTATATCACAGACATTTCAACACATTTTTAAAAGAATAAGTCGTATGAAAGAACCTTTTAATTATTCGTAAATCTGTAGGTTTAGTTTTAAATTGAGTAGGTATCAGTACCAAATTTTGATTTGATAATTTTGAATAAATTGAGCATTGGGTAGATTGTTATAAATCAATTAATATATTTGTAATATCCCAATGAGTAGAAAAATTCGATTTTCTGACGTTTCGTGACTCAGTGTAAGCCACTTCTTCAGAGAATAAATAACCAAATTCACATCAATCCACGTTTAAATAGTACAACAGAACAACACGAATATTAGTTGATAAATCAGAAAACAGGTCTGAATAAATCAATGTCATGTCATTTCATTTCAGTCAAAGTGATTCATAAGCGACATGTATGTAATTTTGTGTGTATGTATGCATTGTTAATGATGAAAAATTTGTGACCTTTATAATGACAAAGGATAGAGTTTAATTTGTAATGTACTTGTGTGAAATTGTAAATAAACAGACTAGGTGACTAGGATAGATAGTCCAAGTAGGATGAATGGTAAGACCTTCCTTTTTATTGAGAGTAGTGGGATTAAGCATCATATGGAAAGCTTCAGCTACTCTCCTTTCTTTGTAATTGGGAAAACCTTTCTGTAGTATTTTGATATTTTTGAAATCAATTTGATGATTGTTGAAAATGGCGTGAACTGCTATTGCCGAAACGTCAGAATATCTAATTTTTCTACTCATTGGGATATTACAAATATATTAACTTGAAGTGAATAGTTTTGTTTTCATCTCACATTTGTTTTATTTTTCCTAAATATAGAATGGTACATATTTCACAATTTAGAATGATAATCTGGAATATTGTTCGTTTAAGTAATATCCTCTTATTAACACGTACTACAAGACTAATTGTTCTGTTTCCCTGGACACGGTTAGTTGTTAGTGTTTTAGCTGATCTGCCAAGTAATCTAACCCCCGTTTTTGGAATACTCATATCAGCATTTTACTTTTATGCATTATTGGGAATGAATTTATTCTATGATGTTATTAAATATGACAACTCCACAAATTCGTCAAATCCGTGAGTATGAAAATAGTAAAGTCTACTTCAAGTGCTTTTTATTTTGAATACTTATATTTTCTCTGTCATCATAGCTTTTATTCCATTAACAACCAATCTCCCACCTTCGTTACTGTGTTTCCGGTCATTTAATAAGTCACAAAATCTCTTATTTACGAAACTAACAAACAGAACATTAGAGAGTTTGACGAGTGGTTACAAACGTTGCATCATTTTAGTTTAAGTGGAATGTGAGACTTCAGCATACCATGAGTATTAAATCTCTTATTTAAAACTTGAATTGATCAATTAAAGAATAAATGACCAATCTATGTATCTTTTATCCTTCGGACTATTTCCTACACCATAAAACGTTGACTTTTGAGTATTTCAAATTTTCATTTATTACTCATCTACATTCAATTCGTAATTCTTATTTTGAACAAAATATATACCGTACTCTTTATTCGAAGTATTACATTACGAGCAACGCTAAAAGCTAACGAAACGTTTTAAGGCGTTGAGTGAAAAGGAAATTTCGTTTCCCTTTAATATTAATTTGAACAGTTGAATGTCTTCTGATATGACATTTGACATTAGACAACTCATTTAATGGAAATTTTCAAGACTGTGCTTTATTACATATGACCTGGACGGCAGTCGATTAGATTCATGACAAACTTCTTATCTTCATCGTGAATATTTTTCCAGATAAATTCTTCTGATCATTCAAGTAACCGGTAAGCGCTATTTTACCAAATAAAAAGACAAAATCAAATCAAAAAACCTTGATAATATCTTATCCACTATATGTTTCATCAAACGAAAACGTTATCAGCGTACATGTTGTAGTAAAACTTTTGGATTCAGTCCATATATATTTATATAATTGACTGATGGTCACTATTATAAAGATAATTTTAATGTAATTTTTACACGTCTTGAATGTCAAACAAGAATTGGAGTGACTTTCTGTATCCTTTCATCTAGTTCATAATTTCAAATAATATACATCTGCTGTAGTAAGATTTTATGATGACAATTTTTTTAATTCTACCAAGCGATAAAATATAAAAAAAAGTAATTTTTTTATATCCCAGTACATAAAAACGTAATTTTTACCTATATATATGTGCGTGTGTAATAAAATTGACAGTAGTCTCACCTTGAAAATCAATCCAAAGTATTACATTTCAGTTCATTCATAACACGTTAGGTAATATAGAAAATTATTAAAAGTTAAGTGCTTATACATAATAAATAATAAAAACGCAATATAGAATATTATAAAGTAGTTTGTTTAATCCGTCATTTTAGTCAATAACAATAAAACAGTCATAAATCATTATGTTTAAGATATGTCTACATACATTAATGAATCCTTACCGATTACCGTATCTATGATATTAATAATATGAAATAATACATTTTGATTTAAACAGATTATTGTGTTTAATTAGCAATATTAATTACTTACTTACGCCTGTTACCCCTCGTGGAGGAACATAGACCGCCCACCAGCATTCTCCATTCAACTCTGTCCTGCTCAATCCTTCCAAGTTCTTTCCAGTTAACATTCATCCTTTTCATATCTGCTCTTATTATCAAAAATAATAAACTGACTTTGTTAAATATCATGAAATCACCTAGATATCGAAAAGAATATCTGAAATCCTTCTACTCTTAAGAAGAGGCTTGTATTAAGTCACGAAATGTCAGGAATACAACTTTTTTACTGATTTGGATATTACGAAAAACATATTCATTATTCCAGTTTTCATTTATTTCAGTGAAAATTTCAGTACTTACACAAAACCATTCTCTCTTATAATCTCTTAAAAATATAAGTAAGAAAATTAAATAAATTGGAATCAAATCAGAAGTTGAAATGCTTCAAAATGTATAACTTTACAGATAGACTTACTTACGCCTGTTGCCCCTCGTCGTGGAGCATAGGCCAACCACCAGCATTCTCCATCCAACCCCGTCCCAAGCAATCCTTTCCAGTTCTTTCCAGTTAACATTTAACATGTTTTCCATTCCATGTGACTCTCTCAAGTACAGGGATCTAAGTCTTTTTATTGCTTAACTGGGCGTTAGTTCAACATATCTCAAACCCTCAACTAACACTAGAGTTGAGAAGTGTTTCGTGATTACAAGCTCCTAGTTTGAGTGGTCTGTGAAGTAGTCATCAAATATCTTCGTCATCTCTAAGTTTGTAAGATCTTCGCCATCTGTTAGATAGCATTTCAAATGATGCAATTGATGTGATAAGCCGCTGATAGAAACACTGTGTGGGGTGTTTTGAAGGCTCTATATTTGATTCCAGTTAGATCGTATGAACGATTTTTATCGAAATATACATACAAACAATCATCGACTAAAATCACTTAAGTGCTTAATGGAACTCAATAAATTAAATACGAGAATGTAGGTTGAAAACGTATATTTTCTACAATCGTTGATCTGAACAGATAATCAGAAGAACGAAATGAAGAGAAGAGAGAGAAATAAGATTATGCGCAGTAGAGAAGGCGTATGAACAAACTTGATTCAATCAACAGTTAATCGACATCTATGGTCAGAAAAAGTGGGTTACAGACATGTGATGAGTAAGATAAGAAGTGCACCCACACTCATAAAAACAGTCAAGTTTAATAAGCCAATACGTGACAAGGTCAAAATGTAACTCAAAGACGAGTGAATAAATTGTCTCGCCCGTAAGCCAGAGTAAGTTATGTGAGCTTAACATAGCAACCGTTAGCGGCCCGTGGTCTCTACGCTCTTTACTGTGGGTTGTTGATCAAGGTCGACCGACAGCAAGTTAACTGTTGTTATGCTTTTCTGCTGTTGACCAATCCATTTAGATGTGCTTTCGCAATACGTGACGTAACCGAATAAGCAGCTGTAGGGTCACTGAATACTGAACAGATCATTGATCCCTGCCAAGGTCAAGGGTAGTCAACGCACACAAACCAATCGTACGCCATGGACTGGCCCACGCTGCAGTGGTTATTCTTTCACTTCTGTACTTCCATAGTTGTACCTTAACTAATATATTCTTGTAATCACATCCTTTGTGTTGTACAGTCTCCATAGCATCCATTATCCTTTGATGCGTCGATGGTTCAATGCACGTAAGGGCTGGTCGCGAGGTGTGACTTCAGCGTTAGTTGGTTCGTCACCATTCTCGTCTAACTCTAGTAGACCCCCAATCATTTTGACATAGATCATCAACGTAGATGGTCTTACACTGGTGAGCAAGACTTCGAATAACGCAACCTATCTTGATGATCTTTCTTATTGCATTTTATACTTATTATTTTCATTTTTAACTTCGGCTATATTTATCAGTTTCTGTGAACATTCGTTGCTTTATATCAATGTTGATTAGTATTTCAACTGAAATAGTTAGTTCCATCGATTATTTATTATTTATTTAATTTATTTAAACACACATATATTGGTACAAAAGGGCACCAGGTACATATGCGCCACACAAAATAATGAAAGTAGGAAGAGAAGGGATGAAAAGATAAGGCGGACTAAAATGTACAACCAGAAGACTCTTTCAAATAGGAAAGTAAGAACCATACTTTATGTAGAAAGTAAAAGAAGGTTGCAGCAGGATCGCCACTGGTTTCTATTCTGAGCCATATCTGATAACGTCTCTAGCCACTGTGTTGCACCATCTCTCGGACCCCAACCAAGGAGTCGTGAAGGACCAACAGAAGCTAGCCCTTTGCAGCTCTCTTTCATGCCACGACACCATGTCATACACTGACCTCCTCTCCGCTTTTTCCAGCCAGTCCCAGGGTCGGCAAATAATGCACGACGTGGAAGTCTCTGGGACGACATTCGTAAAACATGTCCAATCCACCGAAGTCGGTGTTTCAAGATGGTGACACCAATTGAATTATCGTCTCTGTGCCCGAACACACGATGCCGAACCTCTGCATTACTAACATGGTGTTGCCACTGGATGTCAGCAATCCTTCGGAGACAACGATGATCGAACACAGAGAGACGTCTAACATCCTCAACTCGGAGAGGCCAGGTTTCACAAGCATAGAGCAAAACTGCTCTCACCGACGCGTTGTAAATCCGACTTTTTACAGCCAGACTAACATCACGAAGGCGCCAAAGATGGCCCAGATTGGCATAAGCCGCTCTGGCTTTCATTATACGTGCATCAATCTCATCACTCACGCCACCACCAGCACTTATGTAGCTACCTAGATACACGAACTTCTCAACTACTTCACTCTGCTCACCATCCAGGGTGAGTACAGGATGAGAATCCTGCCAGTCTTGTAGGAGTACCTTGCACATGGAGGGTGCAAAGCACATGCCGTACCTGCGGACACTGATTGCCAACTGATTAAGTGCTGATTGCATGCCTTGGACATTATCGCACAGTAAGACAATATCATCCGCATACTCAAGGTCGAGAGGTCGTTCTCCAGGCAACATATCCACACCGCCATTACTTACATCCATCAGAGCTGTTTCCAAGATGTCGTCGATAGCAAAGTTGAAGAGGAATGGTGAGATCGGGCAACCCTGCCTAACCCCATTGCTCGAATGGAACAAGGGAGAAAGGTGGTTGTATGCCCTCACTCTGCCTGAGGTGTTCGTGTACAGGGCCTTTAAGATGTTAATGAACTTCTCAGGCACACCCTTCTTCAATAGACAATCCCAGAGAACAGTCCTGTCCAACGAATCGAAGGCCGCCCTGATATCAAGAAACACTACGATTGTTGGCCTGCGATAAGTATGACGGTGTTCTAACATTTGGCGGAGGGTGAAGATGTGATCAATGCATCCTCGACCAGAACGAAAGCCAGCATGCTCCTCGCGAGTCAATCGTTCTCGGGTTTTAAACAACCTACGAAGACTGACAGAAGCCAATAGTTTGGACGCAATCGGAAGTAGACTTATCCCCCGATAGTTGTTACAGGAACAACGTGAACCCTTTTTAAATTTAGGGACGACTATCGACTCATTCCATGATGTTGGAACACT